CTACTATAGCTAGTAAACAATTGCTTACTATCTTAGTACTTACCTTTTAGGTCAGGGGCTTCTTTCGGTTATTCAAACATTTAAATAGGGCTTATTTTTCCCCACTCCTCTCCCTCCGGGCCTATTTATATACGCTGTTTATTTCGCGTAACTGAAAAAATTTTCCATCTGTTCGTATCCGCACCCACTTTACATTTGAATGTTCAAACAACATTGACAAATATTTCTCATAAAAAAAATTAAGAAACTAAATTTCAATATTTGACATTATAATATAATATTGATATTATGGCTGCAGTAGTTTATTTTTACAATAAATAACTCGTATCATGATTTACATCAATTTTGATGCACACTGTTATTTAACTATAGTAACAATCGCTCGTGTCTTGCTCTTAAATCTCAGACGGCCGAACTCTAGCAAAAGCCGTCATTGGCAGTGGTTCCTTTTTGAATTATACATTTTATGGACGACGACACATTTATAAAATTTAACGTGGACCAAAAACATATTTTAAAAAATAGAACTACCAAAATATAGTCGGAATTCCCCAAATGATGCTCCTGTTTAAGTTTTAACCAAGATCTAAATGACAAACATTGAAATATACCCATATTTTAAATTTTTAAATGGCTTCAATAATCTGCTCGTTTAATCACTTTATATCAGCCGTGTATACTATAAATTAGAGTGCCTTGATTGGTTTTTACCAAAGCACTCTAATGTAGGTATATACAGTATTATAGTTAGTGGGTATATTTGGTCATATTTAATATATTTTATAGGTATTATTTAATAATTTCCTTGATATTTTAGAAAAAAACAAATGTATATATATTACAAAACGAAGAAAAATCTTTCTTTTTTGATTTAGACTACCAATCGATTTGATTCATGAACAATAATTTCCTCAAAACAATGGCGTTCTCAAAGGGGGTGATATGGCCATGTGGGTGATGCAAACCGGGGAAGGGGCCCTAAGAGGTCTAGAACCCAGATCTTTTCTTCTTTATTACAATAACTTGTTACAACCAATACAAAATGCAAAATATCGAGTATGAAACATGCCACATTATCAATATTTGTTCGTTTATTAATTATTATTATTATTAACCAAACTGTGTAATTTAATATATACTAGTTTTATAATATTTTTTTTTTATATTTTTATTAAATATTCATATCATACTTCAAAAAATGTCCTAGTAAAGCCACTATCTCATGTTCTCTATATGTATATGTGTATAATGTTTATATAAAGCTATAGTAGGTATTTAAATTGTATTATTTATACAATTTAAAACAAAAATAAATAATATGAATAGTATACTCTCATAACCTTAGGTATAAGAAGGTAACAAAGATAATATTTAGGTAAATATATTTAACTATATTTATACGTTTTCACGATGATTCTTTTTATTAAGAGAATCTTAAATTATTTCATTAAATAATTTGTAATATCAACAATACCACATTATTAGATGTTGATAAACGTGGATCGATGTTTAGATAAATAATATTAAATAACTATACTCATAATATTTACAGGTAATTTTAAGGTGATTTAAAAAAAAAAATTAAAATTGATCAATAAAAAAAGGTTATTATCCTTTAAAATAATTTTTATAATGGCCTCATGTCACAACTATTTATTGTGTAATTGTGAAATTTGTTTAAAATCCGTAATCATCTAATATAGCCATTGGTTTGCGAAGTAAGTCTTAGGTACCCTTAATAATAATTGTTTGACCTAAAATAGTTTGAAAAATTGTATCAAGTAAACGCTTTTTTAATATTTTACTAATGACTCTGATTTTAATAGCAACAGCGTATTAAACAAAAAAAAAAAAAAATTAAAATATATAAACGGTGGATAACAATATAAAGATGCTTATAGCGACAACGACTGATTATCATTAATCATCCTGCATTGATTGTATACTAGGTATCAATATACCTTTAAACAATATTAAAATTATTATTATTTTTCCTGTAGTTCGATGTTGCCTCATGAAAAATTAATTGAACTAATAATTATTAATGCTCCACCCATTAAAATGTGCAACCTTAAAATAAGTTCTTCCGGACAGAGCGATTGTTCTCCTTTACTCCCCTCCTCACATAAACACGTTATGATTTGAAGTTTACGGATTATACACCCAACCGGAGACTTGCAGTACCATAGCGCATACCTATTATATTAACGTAAAAAGTAATTGGATTTTGTTTAAACTGCAGTTCCTCAATGTAGGGAGAGCGCATAGATATTGAAACGCAAAAATTAATTAGTGAAATATAAAAATAAAACAAATCTAGAAATTTCCTGAGTGAGAATTGCGTATACAGTTTAAACAATAATTAATATTTTAAAGTATTATAGGTAAGTACTGTAAAGTAATGAAACAAACAATGGACTATATATATATATATAGATACGTAAATAACATTGGATTTAACATTTTTGTTAGTTGGGTCTCGTTATTATTATTACAAGAGCTTTATGAATAAATAAACATTCAATGAATGACAAAGTAGAGTAATCAAACGCCCTTGTCTAATTCAATAGGTAGTATGCAGCTATTGCAGCTTTCTACCTAACCAATTAAATAAACTAAAATTAAAATTTATTAAATATTAAATATGTTTGTACTGCTTATTATAATATTATAATATATATATATTATATATTTATATATATATATACAGGTTGTAACACGAATATCTGATACCTGAAATAACCTTTGTTCTGTTCAATATTGAAATTAAAATTTCTTATTCTTGTAATAATCACTAGAGATTTACGCAAAGACTCTTCTGTTTTTTTATTTTTTAACAAATAATACCTGCAATCCACATATTATTATATATAATTTACATATATATGGTATATATATATATGGTTATTATTGACTTGTCCATCATAAAATAATATCCAATTATTTCTGTTCGATTGGCTCTTATAATATATTATACATCTATTTTGCTTCAATCATTTTAGATTTGTAGGTAACTGCGGTTAACACGATGCGATTTATAGTTAGTGGTCGGATTATCGTTTAATAAATAAGTGTCTCGTGAGTCTCCGTCGGGATAGTATTTAATCAGATAAAACTCTCATAAAAATTCTATAACACCAGTATTCTCGGGGGATCTTATTTATATACACGTCTGAAGACTACCTGATATATAGCTATAGTATATACTATGTATACTTTATCGTTATTCGAAAAGGAAACTTCATATAATTTGTTTTATTTTTTTGATACCTACTAAATTTTCACATATATTATAAATGTATACTTATATACCTTCACATGCATCACGTACCGTATATAATATTAACGAGTTGATAAAAAAAAACTAAAAAAAACTGTAACATATTTTTCACTGCGGTTATCCGGAAGAAGCTATATTTTTCACCTAAAAAGTAATAAGATTTAAATGTTTAAACGATTCGTAATCGTAATTTATTATCTGGAAATGACAGAATGTACAAAACGCAGTAGCAGTATTATACGTGAACAAATATTTTAAAAAAGCTACAATATTACCAGTAAATAAACAATAGTTTTCATTGTTAACCATAAGTTATTATGACTACACCTACTTAATTATAAATATTATTAATCAATTAGTAATAATCATTCAATGGCAGTCAAATAATTTTGTTCTAAACGGAAGAGACAAGGGTGATTTTTAAATAATAATTTGAATCAACATTTTTTGGTATAAATATATAGGTACTACATAGATAGGTAATGTAATATATATAATTATTAATATTGAAGGGTAAGAAGGATTGATCTCTAGCTTTTGGAACAAAGTATAAAATGTAAATAATTAAATTCTGTATGTGTCTCATATGATTTTCGTATAAGACAAACTTCTTCGTTTGACCTCATTAAAAAGAAATCGGTGATCAGGCTTTTAAATTTCATATTTTGTGCCAGTCCTAAAATTCACGGAAGATCCTGAAAATCGTTAGGAAAATCTAAAAATCGAAAGTCTGATAGTATTCCTTATTTACGAGGGCGTACGAAGAAAAGTTGTCTTTTAAGTCTTTTGATTTTTCCATTTTTTCTGTCGTCAAAAAAGACGAAATATGTTATAGGGAAAATATCCCCACATCCTCATCCCCCTTCGATCACCCTTGTACTCACTGTATTGTATTTATCATAATATAGGATATGCATCTATAGCATAGTTAAAAAAAGTTTACACGAATTTTACTTAAGTACAAATCATAATTATGATTTATAACGGGACTAATGGTTATAATAATTTATAATATAGTATATTACCTATATATTAATATAATATTGAATATATGTAATTGAACTGTATTATAGCTTCTTACTGATTCTACAGAAATAAGAGAGAAAATACATTAATTTTACAATAATTTGCGCATATTTGTTTTCATTTTACAAACACTTTTTTGTACAATGCACTAAAAAACATTCATCCATCGATTTTTGTATGAATAAGTTACACTGTTGGATACACTGATATTTTATTTTTTTTATATTTAAACATGAGTTTATTTTTTTTTAATGTTTAAAATATATATATATTAATAACCTGTACATATAATGTACCCGATTCGGTAGTAAAAAAACTGACTTTAATCTATCTATAATCAAATTAATATTTAAAAAAGATTTAACTTCATATATTTAGTAACAGATTATTTAAATATAATAAGTTTTTAAATTTTGTTTAAAATTATACTATTTATATTAATGTTCTACAATATTTAATTATAGTAATATAAATAATCATTAGTTATCACCTATATAAGTATAATGCGTCCAATTTATCCAACTATTTAAAATAAAGTTTATCTACTTAAAAATAATAATAAGCATTTACATTTAAAATTAACTAATTACATCAAATATTTAACACAATATTGTTCATAAGAACGATTCATCTAAATCACCTTTATTACCTATTTTAAAAAAAGAAAGAAAAAAGTAATATAAAAATCAATTTAGTCGTGTTACTTTACATAAAGTTGATTAATAAAAAAATGTTTTACTAAAAATAAAATTAACTAAATTGTTTTAATGTGCAAGATGATGTACATGATACATTGTTTTAAAATATATTATAATTATTTGTTGGATAATTATAATATAAGTACAATGTACGCCAATTAAATTATGATAAGTCAATAAAATATCTAAATAGATAACTCTATATGGACCTGCATAATATTATATTTTTTATTGGAATAATTTCGGTCAAATTATGACAATTATTATATCTTTCAGTCATAATTCATAGATACATAATACTGTATCTAGTATTCTATATCTATGCTTGCCGTATTATTTTATTAGTGCAGGATATTATAATATTATTAGGTGTAATAACTAACAATAATGTAGGTGATATATACATATTGAGCAATTTTTTTCCTCTATATTTATACAATAATGAAGTTTTTAAATTTTAAACTAACATAAAACTAATATCTGTTGTGTTTAAAATAAATATATTATATAATATGTTTAATTATTGAGTATTGATAGTAATAACCGTATTTTATAGTATTAAAAGAGATTAAAAATACATTAACTCATAATTCATATATTTCATGTGATTACAGAGAAGTTTGATTGAATAATCTATGGGTGATGCTATGAAGAGAATTATAGAATTTATGTTCAGTTCAAAAGCAGATTGGTTGTGGGGATGAAAGGCTTTTCTCTGTATGCAGATACGTCTGTTTGAACGAGTCTGTAATAAAAAAAAAAAAAAAGAAAAAAAGAAATAAATACATAAATAATATCAAAAAAAAAAAAAAAATAGTTTTAATGTAATGATACACAATATTTATAAAATATGAACAATGTGAAACGNAGGCTTTTCTCTGTATGCAGATACGTCTGTTTGAACGAGTCTGTAATAAAAAAAAAAAAAAAAAAAAAAAAAAAAAAAAAAAAAAAAATAGTTTTAATGTAATGATACACAATATTTATAAAATATGAACAATGTGAAACGAAACATCGTAAACTTATATATATATATACCAAAATTATATAATATGTTATGAAAGAATATTTTTAAACAAAATTATATTATATATGGTTTTTATAATGAACCAAATGTGCGCGAACTTTCGTTTTAAAAATTAAATTACAATATACTCGTACAATATAAAACTAATGCAAGTATAAGTAGATGATACTTACCCGTTAAAATGAGGTGAAAATGTGACCATGTCCTTAACGTGTACTTGAGCTGTCCTAGCCCTTGCTAAAATTGCCATTACTGTCCTTTTTGACGGAGTCATCGATACTTTAGCGCACTCTCCAGAGAGGAGAGGGCGTTTCCTTCCAGAAGTTTCCGTTATTCCATTAGGATTATTCTGGCTTTGTTTTTCTAAATTTCAAATATGTGCAGGTAAATTTAAATCTAATAGAAATGTGACATACTCGTATCAAAATATATATGGTTCAAAAATAAATCATTTCCCCATGATTAATTTTAAATATATTGTATAAGTATAAATTAATATTGCTATTGTTTTTTTTTTCAAGATAAACCAATTTCTACAAGTATTAAAAATCATAATGTATAAATAAGATTGTAACTTATGTTGTGGGTATAGAGTGTATTTTAAGCTGTGCACTATGCATTTAACTATGATATAGAAGCTTTAATATAGAAAATAATTCTTAAAGCCTCGTTAATAAAACAGTACCATAATATCATTGCATCAACTAAATTCAAAATGATACAAAAAACCTCTCTTATCGGTTTTTGATTAGAGAAATTGTTTGCAGACACTAAAAATAAAAATAATAAAAATAATCTAAAAAGCGGACGGACATACTTCGCACCATAGGTGGACCACCATTGTAGATGAGAAGTTGCGAAGGTATATAGTATAAGGGGAAATTAATTTATTTTTGTACGCAAAGATTAATCATTGCTAATGAAAAACGATTCTGAGTGGCGATCGATCAATATTATTAATTTTTCAACAATTTGCGTTTTCCCGAAATAATGATTGTTTAAAAAATATTAAATAATAAAAACTTAATAATAATAAAAAATAAATAAAAACGATTGCCAATGACAACCTTATTTTTAATCACTTAATTTTATTTAACTTAAAGAACCAGTTTTTTCGCATAATCTCGAATACTAATTTCAAAAAATGACCTTTTTAAAGTACTAACTAGAGCCAAAATGCAACAAATCTTGTCATGTTTTGATTGGAGCAAGATTTCTAGGAGAAATTTATTGACAATATAAAAAAAAAAAAAAAACCAATATATACCTTTTGCTGAGAATCCAAAAAAAGATAAAGATCACATTAACTACCTAAATGTAGACAGTCACGTGTTAAACTATAAACACAAATGCCAATATAGTATATATATATATATAGGTGGTACCTATATAAGAACTATTCGCGTTAACTTTCGTCATTAACCAATCGATTTTAGACTCGTAAATAACTATTCAAATTCAAATATAGTCTATGTGTAGGTAATGCCGTATTGTATATAGGTAGTAATAATAATGGAACAAGAACAAGAGATGGTTGAAAAGGAAATATTTGTGTAGGTAACTATTATTGTATTAAAACAACGTAATGAATGTAGTGGGTTCAAGCAGAATTCAGATGACGTCGGTCGTGGATATAATAATCGCTACATAGCTACTTATACCTATACCTATAAATATTATGTGTAAACTTGAGATACATATTATAGTAAATATGAATATCTACATCGCACTCTTTGTACATGACTACCATCACAAATCAAAAAATATAATTTCATGAAAATTCCATTTTTTAACTCTGCTCCCAAACTAGAGGTGTACTAGCCATCATGGTATCTTTATGGAGCCAATGTGATGACTCGTTTATAAATAATGTTTATTTTATTATTTAAGTACTTTAATTTTAATGGTTTGTGGAAAAATATTTCTGTTAACATCCCAACATTTTTACGGCGTTGAATGGATTCGAGGTCTTATCTGGAGGGGCTTTTAGATGTTTGGATCTAACTCTAAACTCCCGCCCTCCCATTCCCGATATTTTTTTTTTTTAAAAAAAAAAGAATTTTTAGCAACACTATAAATATTATTAAATTAATTGGAAAAAAATTTTGAACATTTTAGACCGATGATTTTCTAGAACAGTGGACCGAATATTCTTCTAACATTCTTATGACTCCTGTCTCAAACGGTAAGTTTTACAAATTTTTTTCATTTATATTACCCGACGCTATTAAATTTTTATTTTAGCGCAGGTACTTAGTTAAATCTTAACCAAACTCCAAAAAAATAAGGTTAGGACAGTTTTGCTGTAGGTTAGGTTAGGATATTTGAAAAGCAAAACTGATATATTTGGTTTTGTGTCAGTTTTTCATTTCAGATAAAATATTGAATAACGCCACGAATTGAAATTATTAAGATTATGTTCAATAAAAAAAAAATACGAACAAATTCATTACCTATTAGTTATTAATAGAAAAAAATGGCAGTTTATAATTTGTTTAGCAGTTGAGAATAATTATGTTAAAATGTCTCAAATCAAAATATTGCAGTCTCGATTTCTTATGTTTAGTTACAAAGAAAACATGAAAATATAATACATAAATACAAAGATAAAATGTGGCAATGTTATTATTATTGTAAACCGCAAAAATGAATAAACACAATACCGACACAAATGTATTATACAGGGGCGTTGGTTGATTCGGTTACAACTTAGGCGGTGTAGCGTTTTGTAGATGAAAAAAATACGACTATCGTTTCGGAGACTTAATTCAAACATTAAAAATTTCAAGTTGTGACTGCAGACTTGTACCAAGGGTAAATAAACGCAAATAGTTCACATATTTTGAGAGGTCTTAAGACTCCATAATATTGATCAATATTGATTATTTAAATGCATACTTAATATTTATTTGGTAAGAACTTAATTTGGGGGTTTGGCTGAGTTATAAGAGGGCCCCAATCCTCCCCCGCCCCCACTTGTTAGAGCCGATTACCATGAGTGCGATGTGTGGAACATGTGTTTATCGTACCTGAAACGTTAATTATCGTTCGATTGCAGGTGCTGATGTTGTTGCCGTGTTTGGTATGTACTGGCGAACACTCTCCGGTCGAATGAATGACATTGTAATTCTGACGATGATTATCGTCCACGGAACGAGACGAAGATCCGCTTTCGCCGGTTTCTGAATCCGTCGCGTCCCCCGCCGTCGACCCTTTCTGCAATATTTGCATTTCCCACATTTGTTCCTGTCGTATTTCATCGTTATAATCCTGCGATTATCAGAAAACGGTAGATATACGTATATAATATACAATATTTGTTTACAAATCCGAAAAATTCAATAATGCAATCTGTTGATTGTATTTTACGTTCTACAGATGTACGTATACTATTATTATGTTATTCGTATTTCTGTGTACACTATACGCGAGAGTACTACCTAATTAATTATATTCTCAATTGAGTTATTTAACGGTTTGAAATAAAGTTCCTGCGTCGACACACACAGCTCAACAGTTGTATACAATAATAATACATCGTATTTAAAAGCGTACGTATATGCGCAATACGCGCAGAACGACGGTCGTAGCCGAACAAACAACATAATACCTAACAAATAAAATGTCTTTTTGAATCGTTAGCAGTCGAGATGGTAACAGGTCAATGGTACGGTAAACGTAATTAAAAATAAAATGTTTTTTTCAACAAAGAATGCTATACGCGTACAGAGCAGTCCTTTGGTCTGGATTTTTTTCTTTGTCTCGTATTAAAGGGGTAAACCGTCTTAAACGAGTCAACTGGAATACATTTTTAAAACCCGGAGTGAAATAAATTAATACAATGATGTTTGTATTATAACTCTGTTGTAAATTGTGTATTATTTCCATATACACTAACCAAGGAACTACCAGCTACATTACGTTTAGTTATTATTATTTTTTTTTTTAATTAAAAATATGGAACGCATTTTCTTTTCAGTATTATGTATACATCTGTAGTACTACACAAATAACATTTTCAATACATTTTGTTTTTTTTTTTTTGGTCTCTAAATAGAATAATATTGAAAACTAAATAAATATATCAAATTTTTTCGATATACCTATTCTTATTGGAAATTATAATATTATACAATTTGCAATTTCAATTTCGAAGATTTAAATATGTATTTAATATGAGATTAAAATTCATCCAAAATAGTTTTCTAATTAAAATTCAAATTTAAAAAATAATAATTTATATAACCGTTTAAATATTCAATATCTATAGTTATATATAGTATATATATATACTGATGAAATGGTGTAATATTGAGTTTTAAATCTTCAATATTTAGTATAAAATAATAATATCATATTTTAGCAATATTTAAATATCTTAATTAGGTACTCATAAATAATAAATGGAACGCATAGTATTAAAAAAATTAACATCATCTGCACTTTTTTTAATTTGATAGATGTTCTTACCGTAAAATTATAAAGGTAAAATGAATCTAATATATAATAATGTATCGAACCATTTTAGTGTTTTAATTACGATTATAATATGCTAAATTAAATTTTAAATTACTAATTTGATCAATATATTTAAAAATCTGTGTACAAAATTCTTTGAAAAACTCACCGGTACTAAGAATCTTCGAACTTCTGTTAACGCGTATGCAATGCGAGCATGTGCCTCTGCTGGAGGAGCAAAGGCTGTTATCTCAACGTGCAAATCATCTTTAAGATGTGAAAATTTTGGATCTCCCGAGTTTCTTAACTTTTCTTCCTTAAATCAAAAAATAGTACATACATTTTATTAATTTACAATTTTTACTTTGCAGTATATAAGTTTATAGTAACCAAAATATCGAAGTATTTACAAACGGAATAAAATCAAAAATAATTATAAAATGTAAATAGTATATGTGTATTACAGATAGTGCGTAAAGTGTATAACAGATATTATAGTTTAAGAGTATGATCAATGCTGTTTTATTTTGATTAGGCTTCAATTTAGGTATAATTTGCGAAAAGTAGTCATAAAACCCATATTTTCAAATGTATTATACAAGCTGCGTGTGGGGATGAATAACACGATCCCCATGTGGTCCACGGACTACACGTTACAAGCGCCCCTGTAGTTATGTTAATATTTAAAATCAATACGTTATGTAAATCTCTGTTTAGTCAAATGTTTTCCAATGAATTATAGAGTAGGTATTTCTTTCATAATAAACTTGTCAATATTAATTTTACAAATTTAAAATAAAGTAAAATAATGTAGTAAATCTTTTAGTCGAAATTATAAATATATATTATATAATGTATGAAAAGGGAAATATACTTTATGGTCAGAGATAGAAACTAGAGTTTCAGAGTTATCAATTTATTATTTAAAAATATAGATATGCAATTTATTACCCTTCCCTATTTCTCCGGTCTAAACTTTAAACTGTTAAAACCCATAAACGGTAAATTTGATATAAATGTTTTGCATGTCGAAATTTCTCGAAAAATATTCTCTATTTAAATCTGTGATAAAAAAGGAATTGCTATTTTAAACTCCGAGGATACCCATTCATCAGGTATAAGATATAGGAGTAAAACATTAAAATAGTGTTAAAATAAAACTTAAACAATTCTATAATGATCAAAAAAAAAAAAGAAAAAATAGAAAACAAATTCACTTAAAATCATCTGAGAAAATGTTGGATCATGATAAAATGATCACCCAGTATTATTGGAAATACATTGACTTGATAGCAATAGTGGCAAGGAATCTATAATATACTAAACAGTATATGTATACCCATTGTATATAAAAGAATCGAGTAAGTTTTAAATTCTTTACAGAAAGTTTCTTATTTCCGGACACTGTAGTAGATGAACTTCCGTGTGCTTACTATATGTAGGTAGCTTTTTTGTAGTTAGGTACATTGTTCATGATATTTAAACTTAATATAAAGGCACTTTTTACATTTCAGTCTTTGATGGTTATATCGTGCTTGATAATTTTCTATTAATCTTAAAAAAGTAAAATATAGTATCAATAATTTTTTTACACACGCAGCCGATTAAAGTTTTAGTATTTTAATTTTAATATTATATGCATATACCTAATATTGCTATTTATTGTGATTTTTATTCGTACCATGAATAATCAAAAAATATAAATGTAAACAAAAATAAAAATAATTAAAATAATATTTTATTGTATACATTATATGATTGACCTATGAATAACAATTTGATTAGTTAACAATGTAATTATGCGCTGAATCTTTAAAGTTTGAATAATATACTATATATGCTGCGTATTATAAATTTATATTTAAAACGATTTTAATATTAATATGTATACTTCCACTGCACATCATATTTCATATTGTACACATTAGTGCATTACACCTAAATACCTAATATACCTATTACCTATATAATTATTTCACGTATCGTATTCCAATTATAAGTTACAATTTTTAAAACTTATGAATTATGATATTATGTTAAATAATATAAAATGCATATTTATAAGCAAACATGCAGGTCCGAATTAAGGAGGAGCAGAGGCTCCTGGCCCCAGGCCCCTGGTTATCGTAATATTGTTGGTCCCTGGCCTTGGCTGGTAATACTGTATAAACACCAATATTTTGAATATGTTTATGGATCCCTAAAATCGTTTGGCCACACGCCCAATATCATCTTAATCCGGGCTTGCAAACATGCAAATTATAAAATCCAATGGCCAATAGTTTAAATTTAAAACAACAAATATTATAATTTACGTAAAATATCAGTACCCACTTGCTTATCAAAACATAATCATAATATTATTATTATTGTGTTTTCAATATTATAATATAGTAAAATGTAAATTTGTCAAAACTACACCCTAAATTATAATATTTTATAATACACACATAAATAATATAATTGTATATACTTATAGTTTGTAGCCTGTAGCCTGCAGCTATATATATATATAAATAACAGCTACAAAATCGTGAAAGTAAAAATAATATTGACATTTTTCGTCAACAACAGACGTGTATTTCATTTACAATTTATTTTGAATAAATAAAGTTAAAATCTGACTAAACGCGTATAATACTGAAACGAGTTTTGACTAAAACGCATAGTACCAATATAGGTACATATTTTTCATAATGTTTTATATAATACAAAACTATGAAACAGTGTAATGTAAAGCAATATACGATACAAATAACATAACATTTTTCTAAAGGGGCAGTGGAGATTAAACTTGTATTATGTATTCCGATATTATTCATTTAGATAACATGAGGGTGGCCGAACAACCATTATCACATATTATATTATTGTATACCGAATGTGATTTTATTTATGCTCCGGAGGAATCACAGTAATTTTCTATACGAGTATACAGTTCAATTCGAAGTAGGTATATTATAGCACAATATTTATAATAGTGTCGCACTTTCACACTATAATTATTATAGTTATTATGATAATTGAACAACGGTTCCTAAGAGAGAAAGAGAGAAGTATATATAATGCGTATATAATATATATATATATATATATATATATATATATATATATATATGAAATGTAACGATATAAATAAAATATAGGAAGTATATTACTATACCAGAGGTGGTGACAGCAGTGGTGTATTTAGGATTTTGTCGGGGAGGGAAATATTGAATTTGGAAATTGTGTGTACCCGGTACCGTGTATAATATGTAAAATAAATTTTTGTAAATAATTTATAATTCAATCTGCCCTAAAACTCTCACTAAAATAAAATAACTAGATGTTGGTGATACCTATTACTAATTATTATCATTATTATTATTATTGTGCACCTACACCTATATCATACATTATACATATGTGTATGACCTGTATTATAGATAATAGGTACATTTATGGTTTGTTCTTCGCACGAATCTGACCCAAGGCATTCGTGGGGCTCGAAAAACTCCCGACAAATTAAAACACACGTCAGAAAAACGTTTTGTCCCGCTGTTGACACGGTATATAGAGTTAGTATATAGTTAATGCAATTTCCCTTCTTATTCCCTCAGGTAATCAAGCGTACTCGTCTTTCTCCACTCGAGCGTACGTATTATATAAGTATGCACAATCAGTACAATATTATATTATTATTATTATGTATGTATAATCTATGTCCTATGTATGTATTTGACGCAAGCAACTTTATTGCACCAGGTACCTATATAAGCTATAAGTCTGACATTCGAACTTCCGCCCTATGCAGAATGGAGTATCATAATAAACACTCTGAAAAATCTACTATAGGTAGATTTGTCTACCTATGTATTATAAGGTCAATATAGCTCAATTAAGTATCGGTAAAGGTACCTTATTTCGGTCACGCATTGATCCCCGTCCGAGAATCGCCATTTTTGTTATCGTATCTTCCTGTAGTCTCTTCAAAGAGTTGCCTTTTGGTCCCAATAGTTTGCCCACAAAATTAAACTGGAAACAAACATACCGAGTGTGAAATTAAATTATAATATATATACTATTAATAATAATCAAGTACCTATATTTAGCAAACAAATAGTATAAATCAAATATATTACTATAACGAATACATTTAAAAAAAACACTGTTTATTTTTCCTTCTAAATTTGTATTTGAAATTAAATTGTTAAACTTAATAAATAAAACAAACATCTAAGAAATTTTCCATAGATAGTGTAAAAAAAAAAAAGGCTGATACTGGGAACAGGTGTGATCAGTGTTTTTTTTATGCATGTCTCCCGGGGACTCAGCCCCTCCCCCTCAAAAAAAAAAAATGTCCAAGGCCCCCACGGAAAGAATTTGAAGAATAGTAAAGACATATTTAGACATATTTAATTTTGATATCACGTTGAATGACCTACCTATTCTATTTACAAAATAATTTTTCCCGATGGAAATCATTAATTGTTCAGATAATATTGTAAAGGTATCAGTGACGATAAATACTATTGAACACCAAAAATAATATCAGATAAATATTTTATTACTTTATCAAAAGCGTATCATTGTTGTAGAGTGTAGACTGTGGTAGTGAACTTATTGTTTTACTATCTTCTAAATCAGTGTTTCTCAAAATTTTTTGTTATGGACCCCCTAAATTTAATATAAAACTGTCAAAGCTCCTTCCCCTAAATCAAAATCATCAATTATTTTTTCTTAATTTTATACTAAGATTACATAGACTATTCCACACAAATAAACTATTAAAATTTATAATAAATAAATGTTTTTTTTATAAATTTTTGAAACAATTTTATAATAGTTTTAAACTTTAAACATATTTGATGACAAAATGAATTGGTAATAACTATTAAACAATATTTAAATATGAAATTTGTTATTATTAAATAACTAAAAACCCGAAAATATTTTAAATAAAATAAATATTTCACGGCCCACCAGTCATATAACCACGGCCCCCAGTTTAAGAAGCATTGTTCTAAATGGTAAAATGTTGATTGTTAGTTGTGTTAGAACAGATAAATAAATTCCATTGCAATTTGTACTATACAATAAAAAAACATAATTTTATTATAAATAAATAAATATTTTTAATTTAATTTAATTGATAAGTTACTAACTCAACGCTATGGTATGTTAGAGTTTAGAGATTATTACTTAACAAAATGGTTTAATCCTATTTCAATTCTTTCAATATATTTTTAACTTTTAAGTAATGCATAGGAATGAATGCATGATATGTGCATTATATTATATAGGGTTAGGTAAATCATATTTGTTTTTCTTGTACATTTTTATAGCCTAACCTACTTTGCTTATTTGTATCTGCTTAAACTTAAAACTGGATTATCTCGTTAACAGATTGAAGAAAATTAAAAATTAAAATACCTACTAACATATTTTTAAACTAATCCTCTATCAATTTATGTCATTTTTAATATCTCGTAGACTGTCATTTGAAAATCAAAAGTAGGTACCTAGTCGTTTCACCCACAAAAATAAAGGTAGCAAAAATGATGGTAAAGTAACATTTTAGAGCTAGTTTTTTTTAAAAATATTCTTAAATTTGAAAAAAGGTAATTATTATCAAACAGTTAATTTTTTTTTTTTTTTGGTGTAATATAAATGACCCTTCTCCGATTTTTCCAAATGCCCCCCTCTCGGAGAAAATTGTCTGAAAGAAACACTGGGTGCAACCACTGTTGTATAGGTTGACAGTGGTGTACATGGAGATATTTAATTTATATCAGTTATTAACGATAAACTATTGTAAACGGAAAACGATTCGGAGCAAAGTTCGATTATAAATGTTTTGAAAGGCCGTAATATTCACGACTTTCGTTAAAATTTGATTTTAAAATTCTTATAACAGAAAAAAATACATTATACACAATTTTTTATTTTACTACTAAGTACGAATTATAAAGAACCTTCTGTTAAATTTTCAAGCATTTTTTTATTAGTTACAATATTACAATTTTATCTCCCAAGTACTTACCAAATAAAAATCACGTAAAAAATTCCCAAAATTAAAATATTTATAAATTTCTCAAATGTTTTAAAAATTTTACCTCGTCTAAAAAAAGAAAATGCAAGTTTTTTGCCAATATTTCAAGTTTCTACGAATATTTTCAACTAAATTACATTAAAAAACAAAATGTAAAATAATAAAAGAATTATTTTAGTAAATTTTTCCATTATTTATACGTATTTTTTGGTTTTACTAAATTATTAAAAAAAAAACTACAAAGAATAAAAAAAAAAAGATTTTCTTCGTCACCAACGAGATTAAAAATTTAACAAAAAGATCTCTTGTTGTTTTTGTATTGGAGCAAAGTTTCTGGTAGAAAACGGAACACATACAAATTTAAAATATTTAAGTTGTTGGGCTATAATTTGAGAAAATCATATTTTATTTTTTGTTTGGTTTTTCTCAATTATTAAGAAAACTACTTTGAATATCAATATCAAAAAATTTCTGGTAGAATTTTGCTACGCTCCGAATCTAAAATTAGACCTATTATAATGTATCTTATATTATTTTTTCTTCATTAGTTAAACAGGTGTAAATGTTTATTATTTACTTTATCAAAGTGTGGTACAAAAATTCAACATATTTTTCTATGCGAATATTCAATATTTGAATGACGTTATCATTAACATATAACAAGCTGTTAACCATATATTATATTATAAAACAATATGTCTGTTTTGTTTCAGGAATATGAAAATAATTTAAATAGTTTAAAAATAAAATAAATTATTTAAATTATTTTCTTTTGAGTTTTTTCCAATTATTTTGAAAACCCTTTGAAAAATCAAAAAATGACCTACTCAATGTACCAACTAGGAAAAATTAACTTCCAGAAAATATACTACACTTGATATTTTGGAGCAAGAAAAGTTGTTCACAGACAAAGATTAAAATGAAAAACATTGATCATTAAACCAATCGCTACGCTCAGAATTTAAAAAAAAGTAATGATTATAAATAACTGAATTAATTCTAATCTGATCCATAAACAATTTCAACTTAACGAACACTTTTGTATTTATAATAAATCATTTTTTGAAACTCTTAACAAATAATTTAATAATTGCGTATAATAATGCAATATGATAATTTGAATTTAGTTTGAATATACCCAGTTTCTATTATTTCACCGTCATATTTTTATTTTATTTTAACATCATTAAACCATCAATAATAGTGCACCGTAATAATATAGATCACGGTTTGTCACAATTAATTAAAATATAAAATATGTATGATAAGTATTTCATTAATTTAATTGTAAATAATGTATCCCTAGTGCATACCTTAGGATGGTCTCTTACAGGTACGGCTACCCTGATGGAAACTTTAATTGGTTTGTCACGAGTTATGTCCACCATTCGACGAACACTCTCTGATTTTACTCCGTTCCTTGTTTCTAAAAATATAAGAACATTTTTATGAAATTTCTGTTAAATAGGTAATAAATACACTTTATAGGTATTGGAGGGGGGGGGGGCGTTGAAGAAATTCATTATATTACTAGATGATTCTATAAACGCAACTGTTCAGAAATATGAAAATAAACCATGTACACGATAAACATGAAACGATTATGAGAAAAATCATTAAAAATATTTACCAATGGGAAGGTATGTCTCCTATGATTCCCCTCCGTGTATTTATAATTATTTATTAACACATCTTGAACAAAATTAAACGGTTTTGCTGATTATAATAATATATAATGTGAGATATAATGTATAATAATATATACAGGATAGTATAACAAAAATATTAAACATTTTTACATTTAACTAAAATGTCAAATAGTTCTTTTACACTCTGTATTTAATAAGATAAGCCCATAATAAGAAATTATTTGATAATTTTTTTTTTAAAGAATCATACTCTACTAATCATCTACTCTATATTCTACTTTTTTTGAACACTAAGTACAACTTATAATGTACCTCCTGTTAATTTTTCAAGTATTTCGATTTGGTTAAACAATGATACCCACAAAGTATTTACCAAATGAAAATTACGTAAAAAATTCCGTAACCTTAAAATGTTCTAAAAATTTTACCAATTTTTGAAAAAAGAAAATATTGAATTACAATTAAAAAAAAAAAGACAGAACTATTAGTTCCATAGTATTTCTGGTTTTTTCTACGTATTTTTCGGGTTTACTCAATTTTTATAAAAACTACTTGGGAGATAAAAAAAAACTACTTATTTTCCTAACTAAATCCAAAATTCAACAAAAAACATTCTTTGGAATTTTTCGACTAAAGCAATATTTCTGGTAGAAAATATAGTGCCTAAAAATGAAATTCGTAACGTCATGGTGTGCCGTAAATATTTCCTATAATTTTATTTATGGTTTTTTCCAATTATTTTGAAAACTCTTAAAAAATAAAAAAAATAAAAAACCACACTAATGTTCTAATGCACTAAAATGATCTAATTAATCCAAAATGCAACAAAGAGGTATTTAATATCATGTTATGGTTAGAAAAAGTTTTCTATTCGAAAATTTGTTACAGACAGAATATAAAAAATACACACCACAGTAAAAATAATAGATCATCGCTTCGCCCCGAATCTAAAAAGTATTACAGTTTGATCATAAAAATAATCATAACAATTAACAAGCATAATCATAAGGATGCTGAATGAGTATACCATGTATAAATATACTGTAATCATCTATGCCAAAAACCAGTTATTAACTGTTGTAATATAAATAAAAAACTATATTATATTTAATGCATATACTAGTTGTATATGATACGTGATATAATGTCTTTTTCTTATTTGGGGTTGAACTCTTACTACCCTGTAAACCTTCGTGATTATGTACTTATATTTTATGTCGGCAAGGGCAATCTATAGAAACATAATTTTTATCGATTTATTTGTCTCGGGTTACATAACATATTTCACATTCTTCATTGCTCATTTTGAGCACATATTTCGCATAATTTCCTGAAAATTATTTATTGATATTTCATTTAATGAATTATAAACTTAATAACTACTGATATAATTAATGTTATAGCCGATGTTGATTCTATAGGACAATTTTCAAAGGATAATGGTAATTCTGTCGTATAGAGGATATTAATTTTCTACAATACAAAGAAATTTACCCAGGAGTAATAATTATAAATGAAAAAAACGGTCGAGTTTCAAACGTGCAATCATTTTTCATATCCAATGAACTAACTATTATGTAACTATTATAATATGGCGACGTTAATCAACTAAATTAGTACAATTTTAGATACTGATGATGGGATTTTTAATCAACAATTCTTAATAACCGGCTCATATTTTTTGAAAAATTATTTTCACTCTTATGATAACATGTTTTTGAAAACTGCTTAGAGGCAGATGATTAGAAATTGAATTAAGAAACTTCTTATGAGATTTGATAACACTAAACACAATATAGCGTATTCTTAAAGTTATTTAGTTTCCGTATCCCGCAAGATAGTAGAACGATTTTCGATTCCGTCTAATCAATTTCAAGTTCAAAAAACATAAAATTAATCAACGCTATTCGAGAATATATGAAAAATTATGATTATGCATTGGAAAAAATAGTTTTCATCTGGATTTATAGAATGGGCTTTTTTTTATATATATATAGATACACGTTTAGTTTCTTTATATTAAAAGACAATTATTATGTTAGTGCTGACAAAGAAAGTTATTAAAAATACAGTAAAATAGGTATTTTAGAAAGGTTATATAAACTCGATATATTTATTTGGCCACTAATATACGTAAACCCTAGAGCCAAAAACAAGTAACGACGACGACGACGACGATCAACTACTAAAGTTTAAACACAAAAACAAAAACACGAAGATAATCATTGCGTCAAAGAAGATGGAAATATAAACGTATTAGACTGATAGGAAGAAAATATAATGTTATTAAAGACTCATTTAAAATGGTTATAAAGAAGCTAAAACAATCACCGGCGTGTTCTGAAAATTATCTACGTTTAGAAACAGATGAAATAAAAGAATTTTTCAGGTTTCTATGATTATTTCTAACTGAGTTACAAGAAAAAAAACAAATCGAAATAACAGAAATAGAAACTGCGTAAATATTCCTTTCTCCTTCGATTTTGAAGAAAAATCAAAAAATTACCTCTTCATTACACTAACAAGATAAAATGTATTTTCAAAAAAGAAACTACACTTAAAAATCGGAGCAAAATTGTTAGTAAAAAAGTTGCAATAACAGACAGAAAAAAAACAGTAAAACCAATATTAAATACACTGCATTCAGAATTTTAAACGAAATTGAATTTAAAAAAAAAACAGTACCTGCGTAAATATTCCTGTTTTTTCGGTTTTCTTCATTATTAAAAAAAAAACAAAGAATATTAAAAAAATATTTGCTTATTACACCAATTAGACAAAATTTTCTAACATTAACCATCCATTCCTGATTTAAATGATTGTGTTAACAGAAAAAAAAAATATCAAAATCAATATATTCCTTACTAAGATCAGACTTTAAAAGAATCACAATAATATTTGTCAAAAAACTTTACAAGTGGATAGGTGTTTTAAATAGCCACATAGGGTGACGGAAAATTTCCCAACTGCTTACCAACGGGCGAGACAGCCACTGTAATATTAATATATATGTACCTATAAGGAATTGAACACGTGATGTGAAAAAAATAGTTATTGGAAACAATATACTCAAGTTTGTTACCCAGATAACAATTAATATAATTTTAGATCACTACTCAAAATTTGTTTTCAAGTAGGAAAATTTCAGTCACATTACAGTATTTATTTTAGTTTAAATATGCATAGAAGAGCGAAGTGAAACGTATATCTGTACCCAGCAATGAAAACATTATCACCATTGTTATCTGTAGGTCACAAATGTGCGTTTTCAAGGTGTGTTTGAGAAGGGTTTTTCATTTAGAAAAAGCCAAGAATTCGAGTATAAAAAAAAAAAAAAAGGAAATTTATTATATACAATCGATTAGACGATGACACCCAACGCATTCCCGATTATCTCACTTTGTATAATTATAGATTTCAACAATTTCATCGACACACTATTAAACAATAACGAGTTAACATTTAAAAGTTTTAAATTAAATTTGTCACTTTTAGGTAGGTGCGATCAGTTTTTATCGTTCAACACCGTGCTGGCGGTTACCCAAAACACAATACTGTGCCAGGTACAGAACGTTAGTTTACGACTAGCGTCAATTCTACTTTAGCACGCTAACCCGGCGCTACAATAACTACTTAATGTTTGAAAAATGAGATAAAATCGTTATTTTATTATTTTTATACTCAATACATAGGTACTGAGTCTAAGACACGATAATAATTGAATATGATTACCTAGGTATCTAAATATTGTGATTTTTATACATGCACAAATATTTTATATTAGATACCTATTATATTATTTTTTACAAAATTTATATTACAACAGCTATAGAAGCGTAGAGTTACCGGAAACTATAAATCTTTAAGAATATTTAATATTAAATATTGGAAAAAAAATTATACACTATTGTTAAGTTATAGTAGGTTAGTTTAAAACACTTTGTTTCCTTAAACCAATGATCAAGGTATGAAAATAAATAGGCAGGTACTAACTAATACTAATAAGTAACCATAAATTATATGAATATAATTTATGAGATTCGTTGAATTAATATATTTTTGTTTTTATTAAATTACCTGGTTGAGAATTTAATGTGTGGTTTTCATTTTTAATACTGTGGAATTGATTTTCATCATCAACTTCTACAATATCCATATCTGACATGGTTACTATAACTCATCCGTTTGAAATATGATTTGACTAAACAATTTTCCGCTATAGACTCCTATATAGTTAATGTTGTGCTTTTTTTTTTTTTTTAACCTGAAATAATAACAATTTCAAAGTTATAAATGAAACAATTAATAATAATTTTACTATTATCGGAGTAGATGTAAATACATTTTATTATTCGTAACACTATTCCTATAAGATATTCGCGTAACCAAACAAAAAAAACGTCATCGTTGAATTTATAGTCAAAAATGTTTAGGTAGGTAACTTTAATTTAAGCTAGGTGCGTTCGGGTAATTATTTAAAATTGATCTACCCATAAACATATGACGTATGTTTTAAGGAATCGTAGTGTATATCTAACCAATGTTGATAGTATGAAAGACCAAAACGGATATAATTATTAAACTACCTTATTTTATAAATAGCAATATAATTGATGATCTGTTGCACTTATATACGTATTTCAGCCATGTAGATTAACAATGAGATTAATTTACAATCAAAACAATATTAGATACCTATGTAATACATATGTATACATATATATACAGTGACATCTCTAAATACCGGACACTCTCGGTCGCTGAAATTTTGTCGGCTATTCAGAGGTGGCCGCTATTTAGAGTAATTTAAAATATCAAAATTTTCATCGACGCAATAATATTTAAACGACTGGACAGATAATATAAAAAATACCTATTCAGTATAATAATGTACATAATACATTATACTATTATAGTATTTTATATTTTTATATTGTATCCTACAATTATTCTAAATTTATGATAAAAACTGTCAATGTTAATTTTAAAAAGTGTCTTGTATTTAGAGGTTTTCTTATATATACTTGAATAGTGAAAATAACTCCGTTCCTGAAAAAACGTCCGCTATAGATGTCCGTTAAGGGAAGTTTCACTGTATATAAAATATTATAGTGTAATACGTTTTACAATCTGTTTCCATCGGTTTTATTTTATTTCGAATTTAATTATAATAATACAATATTAAATAGTATTTTGTTATACATATATGTTTGTATATGTATACATATTTTTTCAATCTAAAAATGTTTAGGTACCTATAACGGCTATAATATTTCTAATAAATGTATAGTATAAATAAAAAATAGTAGGTACCTATATAAAAATACGAATCTATAGTCAAATATATTATTTATTATTTATTTCATTATTTTTATTTTTCAGTAATAGAGAAAATAATCATAAAATTACAAAATTAGATGATTCTCTAAATTATGAAGCGCATTAAAAAGAAAAAAAAATTATACGTAAGTAAAGTTATACTAAATTAGAAAAATCAAAATAATAATATAAAAACGTTACATTATACAGGTACTCAAGTAAATATTATAGATTATTATAGGTAATTATAGTTACTTTGTAAAATTGTACTTACAAAATATATTTTGATTCCAAGACCGATATAAATATCTGCGATTAAGAAAGTATGAAGTCGTATAGCCGTTTCATTCTGTTGAAAAGTGAAACCTATACTAAACTTTACAACAAGAATGCTTTATAGTTTACCCTCATTCTCGCAACGACGTCTACGCTATCTAGTGACATAACGTGGTTCCTAAAATTGATATAACATTGTTTATATCATATTAATATCGTCGTGTTACTGAATAGGTTACAGGTAACTAAAATGTAATCATTGAAAAAATTAGAACAATAAAGGATTACATAAAACACTCACAGCAACTTCTACAAAGCGAAACGCAGGCACATAAAGCTTATAACCAACCCACCTACATAAAATAATTTCAAAATCCAAAACTTTATAAAACACACTGAATATGTACGTCATGTTTAAGTGAATTTATAATGTTAAGCCTTTAATCTAATCGTCCATACAAAATATTAAGTTTTAATAATGACATATAACGTATAGGTACATATAATCATAAATGAACTTGCACGTATAACAGTATTGTATTATAGATATTTTAAACCACCTTACCTATGTATTAATGCTTAAAATATTAGATAGTAACATTTTAAATATAATTTGAATTAGTTGATATTTATCATGATTAAGCCACTGTTGTAGGTGGGTGTATGAAAGGTAAAATACATCAGGTAATTTAGTTTATTGTTTTATATGCAACAATAAATTATTGCAAACGGAAATCGATTTTGAATGAAATAGTATTAATCGTGTTTTTTCCATGTTTACACGGTACCCCAGAAATTAACAAAAGTCAAATAACAAAAAAGACCTAGGAGGTGAACAGCTGAAAATTTCAATAAATGTTTCAAATAAAAACCACAAACAGAAATTCTATATTTTTTGAGGTACTGCTAGAAAAAATTGGAGCATTTATTTAACAAAAAAGTATTTTAAAAAAAATGATCGGAAAAAGTATTTGTAATTTCGAATATTTTTCAAATAAAAATAATAAAATACACAGTATTTGGACTATCCGTACAATTTAGTCCTTTTTTTTTTTTGATATAATCGTTTTAACTTAAAATATTGACGAACATAGTAAAAATTACGACATTTTAAAATATGTATAACCCCTCGCAGAATCGTTTTCTAAAATTGAATTATTGTAAAAACAACGGATGTACTTATGTATACCTCAATCTATTTGGAACTTAAAATTACAATAGGTATACACAATAGGTGCATATTCGAGTAGTCTTTTAAAAATATTTCAATATTTTAAAAATAAAGTAATTAATTTTATTAGATATTTTAAGACCAAAAGTTTAATGGCACTGCCTTTTTTATATTAATTGTAAAACAGTTTTTTTTTTTTAATATAAACCCATTCATCGTTTGTAACTTGTAAGTATAGTTAGTATAGGTATATTTTTATTGAAGCTTTGTTTGAAAACCATTAAATAAAAACCTACACAATATACTTGAAGCTACCGAGGGTTTTCATATACGTCCTCTATTTTAGTGTAACTATTCTTTGTGTATTATTCTTTCGTCGTATCTTATAAAATAAGTCACCTAGAGCTATATCATCAAGTATATTCTTTGTACTTTTATTTATTTTATTTTTTTGCATCTCTGGATGGTTGTAGAAAGAATTATTCCACTGTATAAATATAATATTTGTTCATAAAAAAAAAAAACAGAAACTCGTTAAAAAACATTATTTAAATGTCATGAGTATGATATTATTTAACATATATTAAAATCATTAAATCTAAAATACAATTCTATTGTAAATAAAACTTTTACGGTGAAATTAAAAGAATCGACACGAAATTTATACGATCAAATAAATCAGTAGTTATTGCATCGATTAATTTATAAATAAAAATGTATCTATATATTAAATATTTAGATTAGATATAGATACAAATAATTAACATTTATGTTTTAATAATTTGATTTTATTCCTTTGGATAGTAAATTTCTACCAATATGTCAGTATTTTTCAATATTGAAATATATATTTATTGATTTCATAGGGTAAATAGTAATACAAATATTATTTTAAAGGCTGAATACAATTTTGATAAAAAAAAAAAACAAACTTTATCGTTGTGAGTATTCTACATAATGATATTTTATTGTTCGCGTTGTATACACACCTATGTATAGTATATACATCATCGAGCTTTTGTCCTTCATTCACATATCATCTTTAAAAAATTATATGTACACAAACATTCAAAAGAGGAGATTTCCTAATTGCACTTTTTAATAAAATCTTTTTTCTTTAAAAAATGATTGTCCAATAATGTTTCCTCTTTATATTTAAATAAAATAGTGTATGTTTTTTATAGTTCCTGTTATTATTTTCATATATACCTTCAACAGTAAATTAAATATCATAACAATTATAAAGACTGTTTATTATGTATATAGTAAAAAAATCTGATACTGCTGACAGGTGTACCATTTTTATAGGTGGGAAGTTGGAAACACGTGATTACTTCATCTATATTTATATGAAACGATTAACATTGCTGCCAGGCTAGTATGGCAGTAGTGTGTTTTTAAATGTAGTGATTTTTACGACTTTTGTAAAAATTTAAACTTAATAAAACACTTATAAAAAACAACTACCTGCACTACTTTCAACTTTTATTAGATTCTAAGCACATCGAGAAATGTATTTTACTATGATTTGTTTTATTTTTCCTATCTGTAAACAACTTTTATACGAGAAACATTATACCGTATACCAGAAACATTGCTTGAATAAAAAACAACGGACATATTTCGCACGGTGGGTGGGTCACTGTTGTAGGTAAGAAGTTGGGAAGGTAGTAGAGAAATTGAATGTATATCTGTATGCAAATATTCATCATTACTAACGAAAAACAATTCTGAGCCAGTTATACATATTTTTAAATGTATTTGATTTATAATGATATTTACGATTTTTATATAATTCATTTCGTAAATTTTCCCGTTTTTTCTAATTTATTGTCAAAACCCCTGGGAAAATCAAAAAATGATCTGTTTAGAGTATCACTCCAGTTAAATTTCCTTTTAGAAAGGGTGCCATACTTGAAAATCAGAGTAAAATTTCTGGTAGAAAATTTGTTTACAGAAAAATAAATAAACATTATTTAAAAACCAACACATTCCTTGATCCGCTCAGCATCTAAAAAAAAGTTAGCTTTAAGTAATTATTTTTTATTGGTAATCTAAGTTCAAATTTATGATAAAATTCGTTTAAAACAATTGTATTATAGTTTTTAGTTACAAATTAATAACATATTCGATTTACATTTATCAAAAAAACGTTTATTCAAACTCCGCTCAGGATCGTTATTGTTGTAGACAGTTACAGTAATAAACAAAATTACCTTATTATATATTATACTCATAATTCTATATTCCCTAATTCTCACCTGGCTACTACTATACTTACCAATGTGGTACCTACCTACCAGTAGCCTTAAAATGAACTCTACCATTTTTAATGATTTAACGTAAATAGTTATCGAATCATTTAGCTAAGATTTTTCTATTTTTTTTTTTTTTTTAATTTGGGTGTTAGGGATTAAGGTCTGGACCTCATGATTCGGACCTTTGATACCTCAAGCACAAACTAGGTAAATATAATATACATGAGTGTATGAATTATGTTGCCCTTCCTAATATGAATACTTACAGTAATGTCAACAAACCTAGTATTTGAATAATAAAATGTTAAGCAGGAATACGAATATAAGTGAGTGAATTAAGGGCAACCTAACCTATAATGAACCTCATCCTCATGTTAATTTTTTAAAAATTTCGGCTGCTAAAACCTACTCCTAATTTTAATAATCGGAGCAAGATATCTAGCAGAAAAGTTATTCACAGACGGAAAAAAATAATTCATATTATAAAAGTGAGGTAAGTTCAGAATCTAAAAGTAGTGCTAGCTACCTATACAATTTAAGTCACTCTGTATACATGTAAGTAACATTATTTTAGAAGTTTATAATAATATTATATGTTTTTTATTTACATTAATAATATTAATATTATAAAAAACGATAAAGTACAGATAGTAGCTTTCCGGGGAATAAAATAAATTTCTTGTTTTCTTTTTATATGATAATATTATAAAAGTTTTTTAATTTTGTTTTTCTGTTATATAATTTTTAAAAATAGTTCATCCTCCCAGACCTCATCCTAATCACGCCACTGAAAAATACTTAAGATAACGCTACACTTGCATCTACTGCCTCCGTATTATAAAATATAAACACATGACATAGCACATTTGCGTTTAGTAGGACAAATTGTGTGCCGTTAGTTTTTACGAGTATAAAATATTAGAGTGAATTAATCTATTATCAAACTTAAAGGTAAGAAGTACATTATAATTTATATTTACGTCTATATCGGTTATTATTCGATATTTCAATTTTTAAGCGAGATAATAGTATATGAAATATTGCAATTAAAAATGTTTGTATTTCATTTAAAAATTAAAATATCAAAAACGGCTAATAATGTTCTTACCTCTAAGTTTGGTTATAGCCATTATAGGTAAATTCAATCTAATATTAAAACTAACGTCACAAATTTTGTCCTAGTGAACGCAAATATTCAGTGTCGTACGTTTTTATAAGACGAAGACACTAGATGGGTTGCATTACCATAACTCTAATTATTTTAATAACCCTACCTATTCATAATTTATTATTAGAACCAATTTTCTAGTGGTAATATTACTAACACGGAAGAGCGCGGGTATTATTATGATTTATAGTTGGTATAATGACAACTATACCTACGTGGATACGTGTAGGTTACCCTATTTGCATAGGCTAGCCTATCTATATAATAGCTCGCAAAATATGTAATTACATTTTTTTTTCAGCTAATTTACTGTGAATTAATATTATTATTTATGTATAGTTATTATTGAAATACCTACTTGATAAGATATAGATAAGTATACTATTTATTTATTTTATTAACTAAAATACTATTTAAACCTATACATTATAATATTTAACTTATAACTTGCTAGGTTAATTATATTATAATTAAACAAAACACAAGC